TGCCCTTGCCCTTATCCTTCACAAGGGCGCTCATGGTCTTCTTGTTGGGGCAGTGTCACAATATGTGCGGCCCTTCGCACAAGTAGCACTTCGGCTTCCAGTTGCCCTTATCGCGGCGCTCCCCTTTGCCACTAGCCTTGGACCTCTCTCCATGGTCCTTGCCCTTATCATGGCGTGGGCGTCTTTCCTCATCGCTGTGCTCATCATCACTGGGCTTGGGCGAGCCCCCTTTCTTGAAGCGCCGGTCTCCTCCACCTTTGCCGTGGTCCCTCCTGGGAGACGTGGCCCTCTTGTCATCACGCCTAAAGTCTTCAAGGCACTCCGCTATAACCATTACGGATGCCAAGTCTCTAAGCTCCCTCTTTTTCAACTTTGTGGCTACCCAAGACTGCAACCCATCAATGAACAAGCACACGCGTTGTCGCTCCGGCATCTCTGGGATCTCTAGTATCAAGTTGGAGTACTCCTTCATATACTCCCTTATGCTGCCCTTCTACTTCAGGCGCCTTAGGTTGATCATGGCGAGGTCCTCGACGCACTCAGGATAGAACTGCCTCTTGAGCTGCCTCTTGAACTCCTCCCATGTGTCAACCGCTCTTGCGCCTCTACCGGTGAAGCGCTGCCTCCACCATAGAGCGGCAGTGTCCGTGAGGTACATAGTGCCTGTCTGCACCTTCTCCTCGTCATCCTCGATCTCCATGCACTCGAAGTACCGCTCCATGTGCCAGAAGAAGTTGTTAATCTGGCGCGTATTCTTTACCCCATCATACTCCTTGGGCTCCGGCGTTTTCTTCTTCCTTGGCTTTACCACGACGTCGCGCACCTGGGAGAACTCCTTCTTGCACTCAACAATCTCCGCGCGCAAGTCGTCTACCCGATCATGTAAGTCCCTTTCCTTCTCTTGCGCCTTGTTGGCGATGCCATTAATCAGCTCGTAGAGCTCCGCCATCACTCTTTCGAGCCTGTTAAACTTGGTCTCTGTATAGACCAAGTGTGTGGCAAGCTTGGTTGTGCCACGCAGGCGACACGCAGACGCTGAGGAGGACGCTACATGGCAACTGCATGGCGAGTGGAGTTTCTAGAGTCTTCCGGAATTGTCTAGAGTTGTGTGGAAGATTCTAGATATGTGTAGTATATTCTAGAGTTCTTTAGAATTGTGTGGAGTAGTATGGAGAGTTCTAGAATATTGTAGATACTTGTAGATAAGTATGGAAGTGTGAAGAAGGTGGGAGAAGATTCTAGATAATCGATCTCCACCGTTGATTAGAATGCATTCTAGCCATCCATTAGGGATAGGGATGCCTATAAATAGAGGTAGGACTTCATTTTGTAGGCAACAAGTCCTAGAGTGAGTCTTGAGAGCCTTGTAGAGAGTTTGAGTGTTAGCCTTGTACAAAGCATTGAAGTAATAGAAGTGTTCTTTCCTTGCCAACTTAAGTGCTTTAGTGTGTGTGAGTGTGCAAGCCAAGTGAGGAGAGAGGCGAGGGTCACTATAACACTAGTAAGCGCACAAGGGGAGTGTGTTGGCTACGGTGTGCGCGGGAGTTAGGTTAACCAAGCACTTTTAAGAGTAGAAGCAACGTCTTGGTGCCGCACGGGAATAGCTAGAGTGGTACTGAAACTCTAAGCCCTTGACAGTTGGTACCAGAGCAGGTTCGTCAAGGGAGCTTTGTTGAAGTAACTAATTAGAAAGAATAATGACAGTTGAACTGAGCTAAGCACAATTGAAAGCCAATGCAGATGTGGCAATGAGTGGTGCCCACTCACGTAATCACGAGAAGATATTCAGTGATTAGGATTATGGGATATAGTAAATGGTTAATTTCAGTTACACCTCCCATGAGGTATGTCCAATTTTGAGGAGATCTTTTCATGTTTGTAAAAATTCAGTTAGACTACTGTCAGACATAGTCGGTTGACAAAAATAAATAAATAAATGTAATGACTAATTTACCCTTTTGTCTTTTTCCTATATATACTTGACCAAACAACATATTTTATAACTCCCACCAAGTTTAGTTTTATCTGTTGAACCAAACAGTCAGCTAATCTTCTCTCATCCCTCATATCTCAATAGCAAAGTCAGGTTACAAAATTAGACTCATTGCTTTGCAGTTCAGTTTAGTCTCAGCGACTCAATGTCAAAGTTTCAGCGACCTATTGATATGAGCATAGAGATTGAGAGACTAGGAAGAAAACAGAGATACATCGACCCAACCGTGAACTTTAGTTTCGACGAACTTCAATTTCAGTAAGCTACGGTCCGGTGAGCTTTAGTTAGACGTACAACTTCCGGTACCAAGATCGTTGAGGGTATAAATTGAAGTGGACGAAACTGCAGCAATCACCGGCGAGTTTACCCCAATTCTTCGTTGAATTCAGACACCCAATACCGGAGAATGAGTACTAGACCGAGTATGCTCTCAATCAAATCCGCGAGCTTAATGGATACATATGGTTGAATTGATGATTTTATTAGATTATTTCAATGATATATTGATGAGAATGGTTGAATTGATGAGTTAAATTAAATTCTTGTGGGTCGGATTTGAAGAAACGGTGGGTTGAAGGTTATGAAACTAATAAGTTCTTTATTTCCGCGACCTCATCGGCAGCAAGAAATTCGCGATCCGAGCCAGTGAGGACGACCCAGGCCTCGAATATGCCGACCGGATCCTCGCCATCGTTAACACACTCCTCGTCACCGAGAGTTGGTTCAACAACCTGGCATCAGAGACGAGCATGAAGGCTTTGTCAACGAAGGCAAGCTTGTTCCTATTAGGGTTTAAGAGGAGTGCGAGTCGGTGGTATTGAGTGGCGATCTTGAATATCTTGCTGCCAATGAGTCGCGGCTGGTGAGGAGCTTGTCGGCGATGAAGATCATCGCTTGACCTCTATTGCTACTACTGTTGTGGGTGTTTCATTAACTTCTCTCTGTAATAAGTGTTTTTTTCTGATTTATTTTCTTTTGGATTTGTAGATAAAATGTCTACCTAAGGTATCTTATGGTGGAATAGGCTGGTCATTAACAGAGGCGTTGAGTTTTCATGGATGGGGAAGAAGACTCAAACGACACCGTTTATTTCTTATCTAATATATATACTATAATCAAGTCTATAGCCAAATATGACCTTGGAGGGTAATCTGGGCATTTAATCTACTTTTTTTTGTTGACGTTAACAAAAAGTATTTCTGACTAGCTTTGACCGTTGACTGAGGGGGAGACTGATAGGTGTCAAAAAAAGTAAGATATCTGATTAAATTTTTCCAAACGGGAAGGGTCTCCTTGAAGATTGAATAAACTACAAACCCTATACTAATTTATTGATATGTTCGGTAATAAATTTATATATATATGTTGACTTTATCAGAATACATCATTATAATTAGTTAAAGTGAAGTTTATTCAGTAATACCCGTTTTAACGAAGGAAAATGCTAATTTTGAATAATGTATTTTGGGCACTTTCAACCCACCTAATATCCACCGCAATCGCATTAAAAAATTAAATTTTTTAAAGACAAAAATAATATTTATTGTTTGAACCGTGATGTTTGAATTGAATGATGTGACAGTTTAAATGTCAAATGGGTTTGGTCCAATGAACTTTTTAATGGGATGGCACCACTGTGTTCTGGTTTTTTAACCAAAATTTAGATAAATATTTTTCAAATCAATCTTTATTGTTAAAAAAACATTATTCCTTTTCTTGTTCGAGTTGTTATGAGATCTTATTTTGCAACCTTTGATGTTAGTAAAGTATGGATAGAAATTGAAAAAAATATTTTTTAACAATCATCTAAAATTATGTGTGAATGAACTATGAAGTCCCTTTTATAGTCACATTTAAAAAATCTATCCCAAATATTTTTTTTTTCAAAACTGTTTACGTGATTGTTGATGTGTATAGATATGAGATACTGAGATTTACGTGTCTGAGTTTGGATTCAAGAATTAGCGTTTAAAGGTTATAGAGAGAGGAGAAAGAAGTTGATGAAGCAATGCTATTGCTAAAATGGGTGATGATTTAGAGAGAGAGAGTTGGAGTTGAGAGGTGAAGATCAAAGCGAGCAGAAAGGTGAAGGAGAAAAAAAGACGAGGCAAGAAGTAGTAAAGCTTTCAATATGATATTACCGATTGATTATATTGACAGGTAATGATTGAATCAGTTAAAATAAAGTATGATAAATATAATTGGTAGATGATATAAACAACATAATATTATTAGTGTGGAATTTTTATTCATCAGATATAGTAAATAAGTTTAGGTGTGTATCCTGCTAACTACATTAAATGGATAGAAATCTTTATACCATACAAATATATTAGGGAATTTGGAATGGTAATCATTTTCCATCTCCGAAATCCATCAAATGTAATCTATATAAAATTTGCAATTTACAGATTAGTTAACGGATTCGAGTTACAAATTGGGATCTTAAAAAAACCTATCTGATCAAATTTATAAATATAAATATATATGTATATTATATTATATGCACTATTTTCATTTTTAAAGTTTTACTAACTTTTAAGTCTCAAGTTTTTTTTTTACTAATGATTCAAAGTTGTCTATTGATAGTTGGTTAAAAAAATAATAATATTGGATTGTTTGTAAAAAGTCTGATCCATAAAATTTATTCCATTTGTTAAGATGATTAATTCGATCTTATTTAGTCAATAATATAACAAATTAAATTGGATTTAAAATTAAATTTAATGTCTAATCCAATTCTTGGTCACCCCTGTTTTATCACAGTCTACTCTCCTTTCTCACAAACAAAAAAAAAAAAAATTCCAACCATTTTTTCAAAATTCTCTCTCTCTCTCTCTCTCTAACCATCTCTCAATCTCTATGGAAAAAGTTTACATATGGATTAACGTGTGATGGTCCCCATCCATGGTAGTTTCTTCATCTGAAACCTTTCCAACAATATATAAAATAATTTTTAAAAAATACATTTTGGGTCTTGCACTCTTGCTATGTCGTCTCTGAAGCTTTATTTGTTTCCCTTGCGTTTTACCCCAAAAAAAATAAAAAATAAAAAAATAAAGGAGAGTTATTAGCAGAGCATGTTTGTGTTGGGGTGATTTTAGTTTGTTCTTTAAAATTTTTTGTTCGAAATGGCTAGAATAGAAAGACTGGCGTGTTGCCATATCAGCAATCGGCTTAACATCCGTCAGAAGAATATTCGACCCATCCATCACTACCCACATTTTATTTTAAACGAAAACAAATTTTCTCTACAAACTAAAGCCTTTTACTCTCAGCCCTTGGGTGGACCGGAACTGAAAGCCAGACCTCAGCTCGTCGACGAATTTACTGAGGACTCGTCAATGGCCGATTCCAATTCTAGGTCCGTTTATATGTGTGTGTGTGTATATATATATGTATATGTGCGTGTCTGTGTGTGCGTGTGTTGATTTATTGTTAAAGCAATGAGAAATGTTTTCATTTGGAGTTCAATTTTAGGGTCCTTTGGTTGTCAAGAAAGTTGAAAATAGAAAAGAAATTAAAATTTTGAGTCTTATCTATATTTGTTATTTCTGCTTTTAGAATGCTAATTTTATCATGATAATCAAAACTTAGGCGAGCCAAGTAGTGAAAGTTCAGCTGAATGGAGGCCTTGGTTTCTCAGTTTGCAGATCATGAAAATCTATTTTCATTGAATCGTTAGGGTTTCATGTACTGACTGTTTGACTCTGAGCATTATTTATTTATTTTATTTTTGTCTTTTTCATAAGGGATTTGCCTCAATCTGATTGTAATGCCGAGGGCAAGGTCGACTCTGTTGCACCTGATTATGCGGAAATTATTGTTATACGACATGGTGAAACAGAGTGGAATGCCAATAACAGAATTCAGGTCTGATGGCCCTTTAATGACGAGAAAATATATTTATTTTGGTTAAATGTTATCTGTTGATATCTAAACAGGTATAAGATTGAGTTTGGATGTCTTTCAATTGCATAGTTTGTTCATTGTAATATGTGAAATTGGAAGTGTATGCACATCATCATCATTTTTCTAAGCTTACATTTGTTAGCATTTGGTAATACATATAATTTTTCTTCTTGAGATTTGCTGATTTACCATTTTATGTGTTATGTTTAATTCATCTTTGTATGCCAACTTGTTTGGGTAGTTTGGTTTCCAGGAGGGGCGGATCCTTTATGCGCAATCTGATACTAAAACAATCCACTGGGTTAGCTGATTGAGCCTCCGATCAGTCCTGGGTTTGTTCTTGCCTCAGTGAAGAGAACTTTTCCAACTAACTAAAAAAATCTAGAAAGTTATTTCAAGTAGATGAAAGGAATCAGTGATTCAGTTCCTCGTTATTGGTTCAAGTACATCAATGTCTCTTTGATGAAATAACACTAATTAAATGGTAGAAAGGAAAAAGACGGTAAACTTCTAACTATAATAAACAACTATGGAATAAATGGTGCAAATAACATAATGGGAGGCTACAACTAGGGTTACAGGAATACAAAACATGGGCAAATATTCTATAAAAACTAGATAAATGGATAAACTCCACTTTCACTCACTAAACTATGCGCTGGTGCCACTGTGAGCCCCTTAACTTCTAAATGGATCAATTTGCTCACTCAGGTATTAGGAGGGGTAACTTGACTTTGGAGCCATGGGAATTTACAATTACAATAATTGTCTGCTGTTTATTTATTTATTCATTTTTTCATATATCTTTCATTGTTTTTTGGGTGTCTCCGATGTCAAAGTAACATTGGCTGCAGGCTACAGCCAGAGTTATGTACATATATATAAGCAATCGGTACATCTGTTCCCTATAGAAAATGTTGTGGTAGCATTCAATTACTCAATGCTACTTCTCTGTTTTCATGAGAAAAAAGATCTTTATTTTCCTTTCATGTTCATCACTCTCTCTCTCTCTCTCTCACTCACACACACACACACAGACACACACAAACGTGCGCGCGCACGTGCAAATCACCGTGAAAGTGTTGCAAACATGAAACACCCCACCCCTTTACCACCATAAGACCAACATTATACTGTTACTCAGTCCACCATGTTAAAAAAATGTAGTTTTGAGCTATGTTACCTGTACTCAGATATGTGCGTTAGGTGGGGCTATATATTCAAACATCAAACGTATCAAATTTTCAAACATAAGAACACAGGGAACTGCTAAAAATTCATATTATGTAATATTTGTATTTTATTTTATAGAGTAAAATAATGTGTTTGTGTTGCATGGTGTTTAGCATAGACATTTAACTTGTATTGAAGTAATAATATAGTAAAGTTAAATTGGATATGCTTTTCAGGTGCAGTTCAACCAAAAGTGTTGGGCACATATCTATATCCGTATCCGAGTGTCGTTTGTTCAATATGAGTACTTCACATACTTTTGATGAGTCCATGTAACATATGTTTGAGACGGGAAACCACCATGTTAAAAAATCATAAATTTGACTGCCAGAAATGTCATTATTGAGATCTTGTTTTACAAAATTTTAAAGCAGAGAGATCATTAATGAAAAATTAAAGCAACTTGTATATATACAGGCACAGGACAGTATTAAACCATAACTTTAGCTTACTTGTTATAAATAAGGGCCATTGTTTGGTCTAATGGTAAAGCCTAGCTAACAAGTTTGAGGGCACATGTTTGGGTTTCAGAGTAGCCACATTTTGCAAAATAATCTCAATTGTTAATGTTTCCCTCCTAGCATACTGTGCAGACTTAACTGGACTAAGTAATGGCCTTTTATTTATTATTATATATAAAATTTTATAGCTAAATATGAAGAGAAAGGGCTATTGTCTATTGCAACAATAAAACGTTAAGCTGACCAGCTGAGGTTGAGGTTGTGCAAAATGATATCAAAAGTTAGGCTTATCACCAGCCTTCATGTCCTGTATAGGTGGGTAATGCTGTAATAAATTTGAAGAGAGGAATTGAGGACATGAACCATTAATTCATCATCTCAGTTGTCAATTACAAACTCCTTTTGCCATCTACCTCCTTCAGAATCATCACCCTTATTCAGATGCAGCCCATCGGGCTTCTTTTTTGGGCTTTTCTATTTCACTGTTTTCACCTCCTCTACTCAAGAACCCCTACTATAAACAGTTGCCATTCAAAATGTTATTGAACATGTGTCTCCTTCTCACACATTTTGGCGACTTGTATTTCGTAAATTGTTATTCATCCTTTCTTATCATTGATGTGTCTGTGAGTTTTAAAGCTGGTTTTGGTCAAATTTATTTCCCCTTTTAACAGGGACACCTGGATGTTGCATTAAATGAGATTGGAAGACAGCAAGCAGCTGCAGTAAGTTGTTCATAATATTACATTCTTGTCTGTCCTCTGCATTTATATTGCCCGGTAAATTATAATATTCTCTTGCAGGTGGGCGATCGACTATCGACTGAGCCTAATATCTCTGTTGTATACTCATCTGACTTGCAGCGAGCTCTTGAGACTGCCGAGATAATAGCACGTAGCTGTGGCGGACTTGAGGTATGAATACAGGAGCAACTTTGTGAAAGAAGCATATCTTTGGAATGGCTTCAAAGGACTGAATAACAATTATGATTATGATAGTGATAACAATGATAATGATTATGTCTGATGAAACAACATGCTAAATATTAATAGTGATGATGACAACAACAAAGATGATGAGAAACAATTAAAAATAAGAATTTCTAGTTTCTACTAAGTTGAACCGTCAAACAACAAACAAGTACAACCAACAAACTTGAACTAGATGTAAAAAAATGCCTTTAAACAATGAAACAAAGGTCAACATTGGTAGCAACCGCAAATAATGATAATAGTAGTAGTATAATAATATCTGTAAATCAAGTGGCATGATGGTATCTTCTATTAAGGGTTCAATCCCAATGTAGGGGCATGGAGTTGGAGGGTTTACGAGCAAGGAGGGCTATCCTCATTGTATAGTCCATGCCATTTGACAACAACAAATAGTGACAATAGTAGTAATAATTGATCAAAATCAAAAGAGAAAGAGAGAGAGCAAAAGCGTATTCTCTGTGTATTCAAAAACTACTCACAAAACCTAATAAGCCTATGTAGGCTTATATATGTTACAAGGTTTACATAATAACACAAACGGCCTATTAACTAAACATAATTACATAACAACCCATTATTATATATATAACTTCTAACACTCCCCCTCAAGCTGGAGAATATATATCAAATAATCCCAGCTTGGAACAGATAGTTTTTAATCGATTATGACCCAATGCTTTGGTAAACATATCAGCTAATTGATCTTCAGACTTCACGAATAGAGTAGAGATGTTCCCACGTAATATTTTTTCTCGAATAAAGTGACAATCAACTTCAATATGTTTGGTCCTCTCATGAAACACAGGATTTGATGCAATGTGAACTGCTGCTTGATTATCACAGAACAATGAAGTAGGAGCTTCAACTGTCAACCCAAGTTCTTTTAGAAAATATTGTATCTATGTCAACTCACTAGTGGTATGGGCCATTGCCCTATACTCAGCTTCAGCACTAGATTGAGCTACCACCGTTTGCTTTTTACTTCGCCATGTAACTAGATTTCCTCCTACAAATGTGTAGTAGCCGGTAGTAGATCTCTTATCTGAAGGATAACCGGCCCAGTCGGCATCTGTAAAACCTTCCATCCTGAGATGACCATTTGGTTTATATAGTAACCCAAAACCTGGAGCTTGCTTGAGATATCGGAGAATCCGAAGAACAGCAATCTAGTGTGGCATTCTAGGGGCTCCCATGAACTGACTTATAACACTAACAACATATGAAATATCAGGTCGAGTGATAGTGAGATAAATTAATTTCCCAACAAGGCGACGAAATCTGCCCGGGTCATTAAATAGATCAGCCATATCAGCTACAAGTTTTGTATTTGAATCCATAGGAGTATCAACCGGACGACCACCTAACATACCTGTTTCTTCTAATAAGTCCAACACATACTTTCGTTGGGATAAACTTATACCTGTCTTGGATCTAGCTACTTCAATACCCAAGAAATACCTAAGTTTACCCAAGTCTTTAGTGTGGAATCGTTGCAGAAACAGCTTTGTAACGACCCACTCCACCACATGGTATGATATTGTCCGCTTTGGGCCTGAGCCCTCACGGTTTTGCTCTTGGGTTTCACCCCAAAAGGCCTCATACCAATTGGAGATGACACACTTACATATAAGCACTTCACCTTTCTTCTACCCAGGCGATGTGGGACTGTGCACCCGTAGCTCGCCAGTGTGGTAGCCTGTTAGTGTCTCTCGCACCCGCCCACAGGGTCATCACAAGCTTCAACTTAGCAATGCCTTCAGAATCATCACCTGTGATCACAATATCAACATACACCACAAGAATTATGAAACCAGCTTTAGTGCGCTGGTGAAATACCGAATAGTCAGTCTGACACCTCTGAAGACCAAACTTTAATGCCGCCTCAGAGAATTTTCCAAACCAAGCCCGTGGAGATTGTTTCAAGCTATATAGGGCCTTTTTAAGGCGACAAACAGTGTGAAGATACTCCCCCTGAGCAACAAACCCAGGTGGTTGCTCCATATAAACCTCTTCTGCTAAGTCACCATGCAAAAAGGCATTTTTAATGTCTAACTGAAACAGAGGCCAATGTCTATTAGCAGTAAGAGAAAGCAAAACACGAATAGAGGAAATCTTAGCAACAAGACGTGCTTTTAAACGCTCAACGGACCCATCCGGAAGATACTTCACAGTATATACCCAGCGACAACCAATAGGTTTGACACCTGGAGGTAATGGAATAAGAGTCCACGTGCCATTCGTATGCAAAGCATCCATTTCATACTGCATTGCTTTCCTCTAACCTGAATCAGACAAAGCATCCTACATAGTCTTAGGAACAAATGTAGTAGACAACTAAGAGGAAAAACATGAGAATGATGGTGACAAGGAATTATAAGAAACATAATGAGCAATGGGATGTTTAGTAGCACACGAGCGAGGAGCTTTACGAAGTGCAATCGGCAAGGAATCAGATACAGTGGAATTTGTCGGATCCAAAGACTTTGAAGATGATGGAGGAGGCACGACAACAGATGGCTTTGGTCTTCGAGTGTACACCTGTACGGGGCAGATGAAGGAACCAGAGATTGAGATTGAAGAGAAGGTGAGGGAAGAGGAACTGCAGAAGGAGGCGACTCAAGATTGATATCAAGAAGTGAATCAGTATCTGAAAAATATGGGATGGACTCAAAAAATGTGACATCCGTGCTAATAAAGTACCGTTGAGAAACAGGACTATAGCAGCGATAACCTTTATGAGAGCGAGAGTAGCCAAGAAATATACACTTTGTGGCACGCGGGTCTAGTTTATCAAAACCAGGACCAAGGTTGTGGACATAACATACACATCCAAAACCCTAGAAGGAAGAGAAAACAAGGGAGAATCAAGAAATAAAATAGAATGTGGAGATTTGCCATTTAAGACAGATGACGGCATACGGTTAATAAGATGGCAGGCTGTAAGAACAGCATCACCCCAAAACCGTTTAGGCATACGCATATGAAACAAAAGAGCACGAGTTACTTCTAAGAGATGTCGATTCTTACGTTCTGCAACTCCATTTTGTTGTGGAGTATAAACACATGAATTTTGATGAATAATTCCTTTATCACTAAGATATGTATCAAAGGGAGTTGAAGAATATTCTTTAGCATTATCAGAACGTAGAATATGAATTGGACATCCAAACTGAGTTTTGATTTCTTTGTGAAATTTTTGAAAAATTAAAAATAACTCAAAACGATCTTTCATTAGAAACAACCAAATCAGGCGAGAATAATCATCCACAAATGTCACAAAATAATGAAATTTATTGATTGAAGAATGTTTTATTGGACCCCATACATCTGAATGAACCAAATGGAAAGGACTAGAAACACGATTATTAACCTTAGACTTGAAAGACACGCGATGGTGCTTACTAAGTTGACAAACTTCACATGACAAGAATTTCAAATAACTAAGACTAGGAACTTGACGCTTCAAAACTTGAAGTGATGGGTGACCAAGGCGACAGTGCCACTGGAATGGAGACAGAGAAGACTGAAGAGCCACAGGAGAAGGTTCGAAATCAAAATAATATAAGCCACCGGCTTCATGCCCCGTACCAATCTTCTTCTTCGTCTTGAGATCCTGAAACACACAAGAAGTAGGATCAAATGTAACAGAGCACTGGAGAGATTTAGTAAGCTTACTGATAGACATTAAGTTAAAGGGAAACTGCGGAACATGTAAAACAGACGAGAGAGACAATGAATCACTAAGTTGAGTTGTCCCCAAACCTGAAACCTGAATGGATGAACCATTAGCAAGAGTAACAATTTGAGAAGTAGGTACAGAATGAAAATCAGATAGAAGAGAAGAACATCCGGTCATATGATCAGATGCTCCAGTGTCTATGATCCAAGGACTGCGAGTGGAAGACAATAGACATGTGTGTGCAGTACCTGACTGGGCAAAGGTAGCCGTGGAAGATGAATTAGATGCTTGCTTATAAGACAAAAACTGAGTATACTCATCCCATGGAACATGAACTGTATCTGATTCAGCTACATTGTGTGATCCAGAAGCGACATCATTCGGAGAAGAGGAAACTTGATTTGCATAACTAGATGGTTTCCCATGAAGGTCCCAACAAAAGTTCACAGTATGATTAGAAAGACCACAATGAGTACACTTTCTTAATTCCCTGCCACGGCCACGTCCTCCACGTGAATCACAACCACCATGTGTGGAGCGTCCCCCACGACCTCCACGGTAAGTATTATGTTCACCGTTTGAAACTACCAATGCCGAATGCTTACCACTCTGTCCAGTATTCAAATTTGAGGTATCACTTGCTAGTGTAGCACGCTAAAGTCGAGAAAACACCTCAGCAAGAGATGGAAGTGTTGGACTGCTCATAATCTGTGCACGAAAAGGCTCATATGCTGATGATAAACCAGTAAGAAAATGGACAACATTAAAGTCCGCACGCTGTTGTTGCATACTGCGAACATCAGCAGTAATGGGCTGATACATATTCAGCTCTTCACGGACTCCCATAACTTTAAAATCATACTTTTCTATACTTTGAGTACCTTGTTCAAGATTGAAGTACTGTTTACATAGCTCATAAACACGGGTGATATTACCTGTCCCAGAATATAACTGCTGCAATTTATCCCATATCTCCTTGGCTGTATCCAAATAAAGTAACGTTGAACTAATTTGGGGTTCAATACTGTTTATCATCACAGAGATGATCTGAGCATCTTCCTTTTCCCATGCATCAAAGGAAGTATCAGTTGCCTTGAGTTTCTCTTTAGTCAAATGAGAACCAAAACCTCTGCCTTTGAGAAAAATGGCAACAGATTTGGCCCACAATATGTAATTCTTCCCATTGAGCTTAACTGAAGTCATGGTAGAATTAAGACTATTCGTGGGTGAAAGCAAATCTGAA